AGTTCACAGCGAAAGATCAGATTATAGTATTAATCTGTTTTTTAATATACGAATTCTCTAAAATGACCATTAGAGCATTAGTCCAGTTTAAATTGTTTTTAAAATATTAAAATGTTTAATATATTTAAAGTTTTAAATAGTTTAGTGCCGTGACCCGTCAGATCCCCGATTAGCGTCAACTGGTCACCCGTGGTACTGCTGCTGCACACGCTTCGCCTCCTCCCCTCTTCCACGGTGCCCGCGAGAAGCCGTGGAAGCTAAGTTGCTAATTGCTAACTGGCTTCTTCGTGCCCAGCTTTCGGCGCACGCGCATCAGGCATGTTGGTTTATCGGGTCTTTTGATTCATGTAATTATAATGACGCTACGTGACGTATGGAGGACCGTTCGGTTACTGTTTAAACAAGTGCATTTTCTGTCATATCTCGTGAGCACGTTTCTCTCTTTTTTTCCATGTCCCTTTAGGGGCTCCGTAAAAACACGATATCTAAAAACACAACTTTTTTGTTTGATTTTCTAATTAAATTCATATAAAGACGTAAATACTTAAAAAAAATATAAAAACAAAAAATAAACCAGGGAAAGAATCCCTTCAAACGTGACATTTCATTTATCGTTTCTTTCCTAAAGGAGCAGTGACAGTTTTTTCTTGTGATTACACTTGCTACTTATTATATTAACATTGTAAACATTTTGTTAGAAAGACTCCGTTTTTTGAATGAAAGAAGTATGACTGTTTCTAAAGGGACATGAGAAATATGGCAAAATCAACGTCGTCCACCCGAAGATGAACAGCTACACGAGTACGTCTGTCTCTCACTTTTACTGTACACAGCAAAAAAAAAAGAAAAACAACTCTGGAAATAACTGGTATGATCGACAGTAAAATATAGCAGGACAGCTTGAAACTTTTAAATTAAGCTCAGTAAAGAAAGAAAATATTTTTTTTAAATAAAAATATTATTGGACTTTAATCAGCAAAAAAAACACTGAACAACAAAGTCACAAAAGTGACTTCCCTAATCCCAATGGGAATTGAATTATGCCGTGTACCACCAGAGAGAGCCAAAGTACTACTATTACTCATACAAAAGTTTGAGAACTTCTCTGCCTTAAACAATAACACATCGTTAACTTTTTCTGCCATAACCCTTCCTTATCGTTTGCTAACTAAAGTTACCAAAATGCTAAGTGGTGTTGACGAATCGACTAAAATATTACGAAACAGTTGGCTAGAATAGGGGGAAATGTAGTTAGTTAACAAAAAGAAAAGTTGGTTATAAATTTAAAATTAGCCAAAGATGGTAAACTGTAGGGCGCAGCGTAGCAAACATGCTAAACCACGAGGAAAACATGGCTAATTCAGATTAAAATTGTGACATTGTTGAATTTTTACCAAAATAGTTAGCTTTAAAATAACCAAAACTAGCTTAAGAAGAACTATATGTCCCAAATTAGCCACAAAACAAAAAAATAATTTTAAACACATCTACAGTAACTAGATCAAAGAATCCTAACTATTAGCTTTGTCACTTTTTACTCCAGAAATCCCTAATCCCAGCAGCTGGACCTTGAATCCTGCGGCGTCATACGTTTATCACTGCAGCAATGAAACAATCCACGGTGTGGAATTCAACTTCATACCTGAAACAAACGGCGTGGTTCTTGTTAGTGATATGTCGTCCAACTTTCTGTCCCAACCTATAGACGTGTCAAAGGTAAGAACCTGGTCCCTCTAGTCCGCAAAAGAACAAATCATTCTCAAATAGAAGGAAACGACGTGTGTTATGTGGAAAATATAAAATGTATTGCATATAAACATGCTTTGGAAAATGTGCAAATATGTAATCTGCGTGGAAGCATAAGCATGCTGCTTGGATCCTGCAATATAAAATACACAGACACTCTGAAACAGGAATTAAGTTAAACTCAGGATGTGTAGTGAAACATCTGATGCGACAGGATAGGCCTTGAACTTGTGGCAGAAGCTCAGGAGGTGTACGTGACAATAACCAGGTTCTGAGTTGAAGCCAGTAAGATCGTGGAAAACAAAGAACAATAAGATCGTTTATCAAATATGGTAACAAACAGGATGTCAATCTGACGTGCAACATCTGTGTATTTTGGGCAAGGGTCTGCTAATAAAAAGAGCCTGATCTTGTGAAGGGGCAGAATTCAGCAGTTAGTCTTCTGACTCTCCGTTGGATCCTCCCTGTGCACAGGCGAACTCAAGCAACGACTTTTGTCTTTTCTTTGTACTTTATGAAAGTTCTTAGTTAATACCGTTTGAGATCGATCAGCGAATCCGGGGTGGCAGAGGGCCACAACAGTTATAAAAGCTAAAAATGCTAATTACAGTTAGCGTCCTCTGGTGTCTCTGTTTACAGTGCCTATCATAAGTATTCACCCCCTTGGATGTTTTACCCTTTTAGTGCTTTCATAAATCAATCATGGTCAATAGAATTTGGCTTTTTTAACACAATAATTTATTGGAAAAAACTCTTTAATGTCAAAGTGAAAACAGATTTCTACAAAGTAATGTCAATGAAATAAAAATATATAAAGAAATATAATTGTTTGCATAATTAATCACCCCCTTTTTAAGTTAATGGTCTAATTCAATAGAGGTCCATCAAATTCTTGCCAATAGTCTCACAATTAGTGAAATGAAGATCACCTAAGTGGTGTGGTGTGGTGTGGACAATTACACCATGAAGACAGAAGAACACTCCAAGCAACTCAGGGAATGGCTGATTGAGAAGTACAATTCAGGGGATGGATACAAAAACATTTCCAAGGCATTGAACATCCCCTGGAGTTCAGTGAAATCCATTATCAAGAAATGGAAGGAATATGGCACTTGTGTGAATCTGCCTAGATCAGGCCGCCCTCGTAAACTAAGTGACCGTGCAAGTAGGAGACTAGTGAGAGAAGCAACCAAGACCCCTACGACTACTCTGAAGGAGTTACAAGCTTCAGCTGCTGAGATGGGAGAGACTGTGCATATAGCAACTGCTGCCCGGGTTCTTCACCGGTCAAAGCTTTATGGGAGAGTGGCAATGAGAAAGCCACTGTTGAAGAAAAGTCATATTAGATCTAACTACATGACCCCGCAGACTCTAGGCTAATCATCTCTTAGCCAGATGTTAATCATACCTGGTTGTCCAGCCGTTCACTGACCAACTACAAGTCATGCATGAATATAGTAAAAGAATTAGCTTCACGTTTGGCTAATATGTGATTGAATATGGAAGAGAACATTGAACTCAAGCTTCAGTTCCACTCACATTGTTCTTCTGCAGGATCTGTAGAGCTCTGTTGACATTGTTTAGTGAGTGAACACGAGTGAATCCTCTCTCCAACCTCACCTAAAAACAAATACACACTCCACTTTAAATAAAGGAAAACATTGACAAAGGCTTGTGCAGTAAAACACACACACACACACACACTTAAGAGGTACGGTACAACTTGTAATTAGTCTCTAATGAAGGACAAGCATATTGATTCCCAAGAGCAACTTATCCCCCTGTAACAAGTAACATAATGGCCAACACAGAGTAATGCATTATGGGTGCTTTTCAGGCTATTGTATTTGAATTCCCATACCTGGTATCTGTCCACGTGGACCTAAAACCCACAATGTGGAAATGACATATGAGCTACCTGAGGTCTGAACTCTGAACACCAAATGGAGGTTGTTTGACCATGTTGTGTTTTATTAATGAAAGCACTAAAAGGGTAAAACATTCAAGGGGGTGAACACTTATGATAGGCACTGTATGTTATATTTGCACCAATGTTTTTAAAAATGTTTTTGTTTGCCATCGCTAAATGAATCCAGATAGGCCGTAATGTGAACCTTTAGAAATTGAATTCCGCTCCGACGTCTGGGAACTACACAATATCAACTTCATAAAAAAGAACGAGTTACGTTAAACTTACAGCAAAAAGTTCGTCGCAAAATATCCTGATCATGTAGGTCTGCTCCAGTGTATGTACTTAAAGCTTAGGTTTTCGTTGGTTTTCAGGTTGCCCTGAGGAGGCAGCAGGCTCAGGAGGAAGCACTTGGGATTTGTAGTCCAGTTGCTGTCAATGGGCCTGAAGTAATGGTCAAGAGTGAACCTGGAGCGGACTGTCTGCTCCCTGTGGACGGGAGATCCATGCCCTCTACCATCAGCACCTTCACTTATGTGCATGCTGGCCAAGGTCAGACCTTACTGTTCCTCTACTGCCTTAACTTGGAAAGTGCCTTACAAAAATTGATCAATTTCTCAGTTTTTAATAATTTCAGGTATCATTAATATGCAGGGTTATTTAAAAATTAAAGAAATATATTTTTCCCTTTTTAAGATGAAAGGTTACTCCAGAAATATCATTGACCTTTTAGCAGAAAAATGCCTTTTGCACAATTCTTAAAGTGTTGCTTAATAGACATCCACATGCTTGACTGGCCTGCCTGCAACCTAGATCAGTTTTCCTTTCAGTGTATGGCCTTTCATAGTTGGAAGAATGAGACTGCAATAAATGGGTCTTTCAGAGCTGCAAATGAAAAAGATATATACTTAAAAGAAAAGTTAATGTGACACAGTGGTACTTTTGTGGATTGTTTTGAAGGTATAATTTCATAATAAATTTAATAAATGTTCTTTCCTATAGAGGTTTGATGACAGTCATCTTGATGCCCTGACCAAAAGATATCTGCTTTTAAACATTGTGTAGTATATACATTTTACATCAGGTCAAAACAATGTCATTGTGTACATTTAAGTTTCATTTGAGCCACTGGTCAAACTATCCATCCATCCATCCATCTTCAACCGCTTATCCGGGGCCGGGTCGCGGGGGCAACAGTCTGAGCAGGGACACCCAGACTTCCCTCTCCCTCGACACTTCCTCCAGCAATTCTGGGGGGACCCCAAGGCGTTCCCAGGCCAGCCGAGCGACGTAGTTGCTCCAGCGTGTCCTAGGTCTTCCCCTAGGTCTCTTCCCAGAGGGACGGCACCCGAGCACCTCCCGAGGGAGGCGTCCGGGGGGCATGCAATGTAAATGCCCAAGCCACCTCAGCTGACTCCTCTCGATGATGATTGAAAATCATACAAAGAAAAACTGCAGAAGATAGAGGTGCCTCTGTCAGCAGATCTCGCAAAGGTATAGCGTCTTAGTGTAGATCATAACAATAGTGATTTGTTGTTACACTTGTGAGTTGTTACTTGTCCTGGCAAGAGTCACATTGTGTTTTGTCTTAAGTTGGGGGACCAGGACAAACACTCTGCTGATGAAGACACTGTCCGTGAGAAGATGAAAGCTACCTTCACTTATCGCCAAGCAATGGTCAATGATGAAAGCAAATCAGCAGATGTCTTCTTGGTTTTCCCACATTTTCTGGACACACCAGGACTTGTACAACATCTTAATTCAATTGTTTCACGGCAATTCCCAGTATAGCCACAGTGCAGTAACTCTCATTGTTACACTTTGTTTGTATGTGTCTGTGTTACAGATTGAGCAAGATTTCAGACTTCTGTTTGGAGAGACCACTGCCAACAAATTCTTGGAGAAGTGGCCAACTTCTTTCAAAGCTAAAGTAATAATGGAGAGTCATCGACTTATACCCACTACAGAACTCTTGGATTTGATGCGCAGTGCAGAGTCAGCGGCTGAAGTTGAGAATGGTACGACATTGTTTACTTGATATTTCTGATTGCACACGTGTGCAGTGCCCTTTTTGGTAATGGTGCAACCTTTCAAATGAATATGCTATGATGTTAACACATTTTTGGTTTACATAACAAGTGACATGTCTACTTTTTTGCTGCTGCTACATCTACTGCCACCATCTGCGCAAGGTCGAAAGGCCAGGAAAGATGTTTGCATCTCAAACTGTACATCAGCTCATTAAATTTCAAAAGGTTTGTTAAAAAGTTGAATGAATGAATGAATTTTTCTTTACATCAATCTCACACCTTTTGAGATGTGATCAAATGTAGTCTAATCAGATTTTACTCACCACAACTTATGTTGAATGTCTTCTGTCACAGACTGGAATCAGTGTGCAGCAGCATTTAGACAACATCCCCCTTAGCAGCCAGTCCTACCTTCTTGCAGTGGGAACCACACCAAGCAGCATTCACCACTACTTCATTGTGATCGACAAGCATGCACTTCCTTGCAAGGTATCTGGTTCTGTGGGAGTCTTTGACAAACTCTTGAAGGCCCATTATGTCTATGGTATGTCATACAGTTCCTCCTTGACCAACTTTTTCACTTTTGTGCAAACTACAAAAGACATGGGAGAAACATAATGGGCTCACTTACCGCCCACATTTGATTGTGTGTGGAGTTGAATCTAAAATGCCCTTGTTTTTTGAGTTTGATTATTGTATTGTTTTGATTATTGTTCTGATTATAGATGGAAAACTGTAATTGCTTACTGTGCCTTTAATTACAGTTACTTGTCAAGAACATCTCCATGCATGTGAAGTGAGAAAGCATGATTTTGTTTACTTTCATGTGGACAACCTGCAATATCCTAGGCCTTTTGACCTACAAAGGTAATGTAGGGTGATTAACTCTTCCTTATTGATTGTCCCACATTGCTTTCTTTTGTAAGCTTTCATTTTTATTTTAATATGCCATATAGACAATGCAAATATGAAGATCACTGGCACCTTAATGATTTCTAAAATAAATACTAGCACTGGCAATACTATGTTGTGTCCTGTTTATTTTCATTTCATAGTACATCACATTACTTATTATAGTATTATTATTATTATATTAATATAAATAAAATTATATATGGTTTAGAGACAGTAGCAATAGGCAGAAGACAGGAGACGGATGTCTCCAGCCTCCCTCGGGACCTGTTCAAAACTCTCCCGGAGGTGGGAGTTGAAGGCCCCCCTCACCGGGGATTCCGCCAGACGTTCCCAACAGACCCTCACGATACTGGTCAAACTAGTGAATACAGTGATCCCTTGCTTTAACGCGGTTTACTTTTCACGGTTTCGCTACTTCACGGATTTGCATCGTGCATTGTGTTCTGCATTCTGATTGGCTAAAAAGTCACTCCGCTTCTTCTCTACCTGTGCGCCAATACCGTTGCGGTTTAATATGTACACGTACGTAAAACAGCTTGCCAAATTGACATTACGTACGTGCAAATTCTCTTGCAATTTCGAGTTTATCAAACCCCATAATGTCGACAAAACGCTCTGGACCGGCAAACGTACCTGCGGTAGGGACCAAAAGGCAGCGGAAGATGCTGTCTATCGGTGATAAAGTAAAACTATTGGACATGCTAAATGAAGGTAAAAGCTATGCGGCTGTAGGTCGGCATTATGGAATTAATGAATCTTCCGTTCGTTTGTGAAACAAATGGTTGAGACTGTAAAATGGTTTGTTCGTTCTTTCTCTTCTTTTTCTGAGTATTTAATTGTAAAAAAAATAAAGATTTCTACTTCACGGATTTTGCCTATCACGGGTTCTTTTTGGAACGTAACCCCCGTGAAAAACAAGGGTTTACTGTATCAAATTAGATTTATTTGTTTTTATACAGGAAAATTAGTTAAATATTAAAACATTATTGTCAAACAAGTGTTGTTTTTCTCAGAAGTGAACGCTAATTTATTGGGCTGTAAAGTCACATTTGTGGCAGCAATTGGCAATTATTATTTTATTAATAATTTGTTAAATGATTTATCATCAACTGTTTTGTCCATTTGAGGTTATCTGCAGAGACAAACGTTCATATTGACATGCTTTTTACACGTACGATCTTTTTTAAGTCCTTCACAAACTTTTGTCCCAGGTCTTCAGGTTTTCAGGTCGTGGGAGAAGACCAGACAATAATACTGTTGTATATTCAGTCTGTAATTTTTTAAAAACTACATTTGTTGATAGCAGGATTAAATGTCTCTTTTCTTGTTTTCCCGTCACAAGGAGCCCAGTACAGATACTGTGTTCCCACTCGGCCTGATAAACATTAAGGGAGTCAGAATATTGGCTTTGTTTGAGGATGGTTGTGTGTTGGGCAGCCTTGACCAAAAGGCTGAACTTTGGGTCGCTGGCGGAGAGAAAAAAGCGAGATAGAAAAGGGAGTCTAGCACAGTGTGATTCACTGATGTCAGAAGATAGAACAGGGACAACAAGTGTCATTATGTTTAGCCGTGTGAGTCCATGTTGTCATCATTGACGGAGACCAAAAATGCTGGGTCTGCATGAGAAAGTGTGCTGTTGATAAGGAAAGCAAAGTGGCCCTAATAACTGAAAATGCTGAATAATACGGCTTGTCTTTTGTGCAGAAAGATACATTTGTGTGATGTGATGGTGCTACCTGCAGATGGTGCTGTTGTCAACAGTTTAATTATAGAGTGGCACGACTTAAAAAATAAGTTTTCGAAACTTTTTCATCATAATGCTAGTAAAACATTTAAGGTAAAACATCCAAAATTTGATTGTTTAAAATATTTTTAGATTTAAAATAAATCTAAATCAATCATCTTTGCTTTAGTAGATAAAAAGATTCACCAAAACAAACTTTTGTATAAATGTGTTTTCCAAATGTAACAGTATGCTTTAAATCACAACATTCACACTTACAAACTGAGTGTGTTCATTTTTGGTTTTAGTCCTCTGTCCAGAGAGTCTCTTATCTTCATCCTCTGTCCTTCCAGGGAGCACCAGTGCTCTTTATGAGGGATCGTCTGCCCTTCAGATGGAAACCCCCTATTACAACATCTACCAACCATCTCGTTACTTGTACAACTACCAGCAATACCAGGTGTGTGTTCCTGCTATAAGCAGTTCATGATAGTATTAGGTCTCATATGTAATTTGAGAATGCAGTGATAGAAAGAATGAACAAATAGACCAGATTACCAGTTCATGGAGGAGCCTCAAACTGTGGCGATATTTAAACTAGTAGGTTTTGCAACTTCCATTCATGTGTCGAACGAAAATCCAAGTCCTCCATTGGTCCATACCTCTTCTGCTGCACCACTGCTCCTCAAACTGAGATTTGTTTTCTTAATTCACATTATTCTTTACTTACAATTACTTGAAGTATTCTAAATATTTAAATCCTATAAAATACTGATGGTTTTGGTGTGTTCTTTATTTCTCTTTAGTTTAGTTTTTTGCCTTTAATTCAGAGGTGGACATAAAAGGTTTCCTTTAATCAGAAAGCTGCAGCAGTGCTCTCTTAGTACTAGTAGTGTAACCAGGGTTTGAAAAGGTCTTAGTTGTAGTAATTACACTTCGGTTTTGTATTACATTACATTACATTTAGCAGATGCATTTATCCAAAGTAAATATTGTAGGAATATTACTGCTCTGCTATAACTCAACAGGTCCATATATGGTGACTTGGAAGGTTTAATTAAACGAATACTTATTAGTAAAGAACAGTAAACCACCTGCTTTTGACACGCAGTGCTTGTCTTAAATGGTATGTGACCCCTGGAACATGTGCAGCAGAAGAGGGAGACGTTCTATGGTTGCCATGGTAACGCACCTGCAGAGGAAGGTCGTTGAGAGAAGAACCCACTACCACAACAAACTTGTTTGTATGTCTGTAATAATTCAGAGGTCTTGGGACAGTTAGTCAGTCAGCGCTCCTGGCATAGGTACTAGGTAATCGGCAGTCTACTAGATCGGCACTGACTCCAGAGAAATGTCTCTGTAAGTTCGGTTTTATCCATTAGTGTTTTGCTTGAATATACTCTGTATACTCTCTTGCTTGTTCTTGCTCTCTTTGTAATAAAAACACAGTTTGAACGTGGAACTCCGCCTCGACGTTCCTGTCTTTGACCTGGGATCAAAAGAACATCCACTACAACTTGGTGACCCTGACGTGATTCAAGGCCAGACAGGTTCAAACGGGCGGTGAACCAGATTTGGCTGTGCAGGAGGTTTTGACTGCCTGGAGAACGGGCTTCCCAGAAATAAAAGGTAAGCAGTAACCTTTTCTGATATACAGAGAATACTGCAGATTGAACATTCTAAAAAAAAATTCTCCAAGTAGATAAGACTGAAAAGTAAAAAGATAAAAGCAAAGATTGGGTGTGGCGGATTTAAAATCCCTGGGCAGCAGTCCCTAGAATTATGGAGGGTTTAAAATCCCTGAGCAGCAGTCCCATCCCAACATGGCCCCACATCCCCACAAGTAAGGGGTGAAACAACTGATGCTAGTGGACACTGGGGCAACTCACTACACACATGGGGCTGCTACGTCAACAACACTTGTCCTCATAATCCATTCTCTGGGACTTTACAACGGCGACAATTTACAGAGCCTTTGAAAAATGAGGTCCGAGGACAGATGCTGGCCCATTCCCTCCTTTATGCCCCTGACTCACCTGTACATTTGCTTGGCAGAGACATGTTGTGTGAATTGAAAGTGAGTTTACTGTGTGGACCCGATGAAGTGGAAGTGGTGTTTCCAGATGGACATAGGGTGAACTGTTTATGTACATCCACAACATCAGGGACTCAATGGCTACTGTGTGACGAAAGGGGGCCAGCCACACCTATGATGGACATTTATTGGGCTCTCCTGCACCCGGAAGATCCAAAGAAAACTGGTGTGCTCTCTGTTTACTACCAGTGGAAGCCCTGGATAGACCTCCATGCACCTTATGCACCCCAGTGCACTCTATTTTATGATAAATAAGGTGATGACATTTACCAACAATTTTCCAAAATTGATGGGCTAAATTGGTCCATCATTACTAAAGACATTTATGTGGGAAAAGAAGGAGTGGCTGCCGCTGTAGAATCTGCACCAGAATAACAGCAGTGGTTTAAGTCACATGACAGTTTGAAAAGTGGTCCTCAGTACTGACTGGGCACCAACTCAGATTCCTAACCTACATTTTTCTGCCAGTAATGACTTGTATAAAA